GGAGATGTTACTGTAGGGCCTACTAGTAAAATTGAGTGGAGTAGATTGCGTCCGCTGTTATACTCTTGCCAGCACTTGGTATGGAACTTCTTGTTGACACTACCAAATTTCCTAGAATGCGGTGTGTGAGCCAGGGGTCCGAGTACAAATACTGGTTATTATGTAAGGCTGGCTTACTTATTGGAATATTTCATATTCCAATTTTTCTTTTTTTTTCACTGTTGTTCAGTTACTGGGGACAATTTTATATATATATATATTTTTTTATTTGAGAGGAGTGTCAAAACCCCCTGATTCCCCCTTTGGCTGCACCCCTGATACTACAATAGACACTGATAAATATACAATAGCACTGTTTAAAAATAAATGAAATAATATATGAAAAAAAATACTAAGTATTACATCTGATGTGGAATAGTACTAAAGTTAATATGTTATTTAAGGTAGGAATGAGTTATTAACCTATTTGTGTTTGCTTTCACTTGGCCATCCAACATGTAATGTAATGTTATGTGACAATTCAGTGGATGTAATACATCATCAGCTATTTTGCTATAAAGCTCATGTAAAGCAACCTTTTCACAATTATCTCGATTTCTATGCCTATAATTGTACTTGTTGTTTTAGATGTGATTTTTTCTATATATGTCTAGGATGTTTTAGTACCATGCAATGCTACAAAAATGTTTAAAGAATTGATCATAACTTTTATTAAAGAAAGAGTGTTTGTTTAGGCAAAACATATTTATTTTCTAAACAAAAAACGCATAGAAATGTTGTGCATTAATTTTATAAATTTAGCTTTGTTGATTTGCATTATTTTAAGCACATGTTAATTGGCTTAAAATTTTGGCCTACTACCCTCTGTCTCAGATCGTGCCCCAAAGTTTCTGGACCTTTGTTTGTCATCAAGATGTTGAGTGGCATGAATATTGGGATAACATGTTCTTTACATCATTTGGTAGCTTTAGGGCCATATTAAGGATTGCAATAATAATAATAATAATAATAATAATCTTAAGCTGCCATTACAAGTACAGTCTCACCCATGCTTGCATGGAATAATAATAGACTATAAACTGATGATGATGATGATGATGATATTATATAAAACTTAATAACTAAACTAAAAAATATAAATGCACAATTGACAAACACCCAGAATGAATATTAATTTCATAAATTTTTCCTTAGCTAAAAATTTGGAGGATGCTCAGGGTGTGCAAAAATGAACCAACAGCAGGGTCAAGGGGAAGAGCTTAGGTATTGTGGGGTCAGGGCTAGAAAAAGTGCATGACCGCACAACCAGCGAATGTCCCGGAAGTATTTTGGGGGGAAAAATAAAAAAAATGAACTGTTGGACTATATACTGTAGTACAGATAACATTTGGTGCTGGAGGCATTTTATCGAGACATTTTTCATGTTCGGAGGCACAAACGTTTTTTTTCCAGACCTGGTGGGGGTTCCGAAGCCTTCTGACTACTCCGCCTCGTAATCCGACTATCTATTAGAAAATAAATTTTACATTCAAGTACATTTTCGACTTTTTCCATTATTCAAATAATCAGTCAAAATAGTAAAACATAAATTTTATAGTATTAAATTTATTAATAAAAGCTTAAGAATATCCTTGTGTATTATCATATTTTCTAAAAAAAATAGCTGACCCTATGATTTTATAGTTATGAAGTGGGTTGGTCTTGAGCAACCGATTTTCTTTAGACTTATCAGCGAGATTATTATGTTTCCTGTGTCATTTTCAAAGCTTATCTTTTTCTTTTTTGTTTAGTATGCAACTCGACATCACCATCATATCTGAGATGTGTCCGAATTTGACCCAACCTGAATTTTATGATTTCTAAATTAACGTATTGCTCATGGTTCTGTCTTCTATGTAAAATCGAGGTGTCACTTAACATAAACTGCATCTATATTTTATAGACTTTGCATTTAATGCTATTTGATTAGTACTTATGTGCAATGGCCCGGTCAGCAGAATAGTTAATTGACTATAAATTAAAGTAGGTAGTTATTCAAATAATCAGTCCACCAATCAGAAGAACTTGTTAAACATTCATCATGCGAAGTATCTCTTCATCATATATTTCTCTTTTGCTTATCAACTCTCCCACACATTTATCAATTGCACATATTATCAAATGATGGCCCATCCATCTATTAGAACTACAGGTCGACCATACCCATTCTTATACTAATATTCATTAGCTATTGCTTACCAACACATTTATTGTTTAATAGATTTTTTTCTTTCATTTTTTTTCTTTTTAATGTAAGTTTTTTATTCTTTGTGGGTATAAATATGCACAGTAACATAATTAAATTGACATGTCATATAGGCAGAAGCCCAGGAGAAACTAGATAGTTAAAAGAATGAGCAGTTTAAATATAATGAGAAACACAATTTACAATATGAAATATGTAATATCATTAATGACAAAAATTAAGGCAACTGAACATGATTTAGATAGTTATCTGTAATATTCAGCCCTCAAAATTAACGTCAGCATTCGGCAGTGCCGGCGTAAATGCTGGCGTCTAGGCACCCGTCGCCGGCGAGAAAATTGCCAACGTGCAATTTTCAAACACCAATTCAACAGAAACGTACTGCTACTTTTCAAGAATAAATTACACTAATTAAAAAAAAACGGAACTTCTAAGTTAATCCCTTACTCACATGTAGCTGTTCTGTCTGTATTCTCCGTTGATTTTAGTGAAAGTGAAAGACGATCCCCAACTCACACGTTCTGCAGTGCGTCGCCAACATCTCCTAGAAAGAACAGCACGTAGAGCGTGTTCTTCGTCACCAATGTTTGCTATCCTTTTGACTGTGGTGGCTTTTATTTTAGGGATAAATATGCCCAGAGTATTTTAGTTTTAATTCGTTTTCACAAAAGTAACATGAAAACATATTTCAACATCCATGGTTAGTGCTTATTTTTTATCACTGCAGCTAGCCTAGGTCTACCTAGAACTTCACGTCAGCACTCTGTGGATCCGATGGTCCACGTAGGCGCGCGTAGGCTAGTACTTAGTACTAGCCTAGGTTTAGGCCTAGTACTTGACAACTTTTTGAAAATGCCGACGTAGGACCGGCGTCAATTTTTTAACGTCGGCGATTTTTGCCGGCGTGCTTTATCCCTAATTTTGAGGGCTGAATATTTGTAATTGTTATACAGCACCATATTCAGATACATATTAATATTCATCCACCTAGTCATCCATTACCCATCCATGATCACCCATAAACCCACCTCTCATCGGACGTCTACCCGTCCATCCACGTATCACCAACTCATTCATCCGCGATCACACAGAATTACAGAATAGCAGGGTGAAAGTACCATTGTAGATGATTGTGCTTCTAATGTAGTTATCATGAAGTCAGCCTTAGCTATTCAGGATATACTGTACAGGAGTTAAACCTTTTTAAACTGCAAATCCTCCTCACTCCCACACACCACCTACTGTATTTACAAATTTTCATTTGGATTGCCATATCAGCATTAATTTCATCAATTTACTAAAGGAGGTGGAGTAGGCTATACGTTAACAGGTTTAGGGACATATTCTTAGTAAAAAATATTGAACTTTTCTTAAATAGATCACAAGTGAAATTGGCATTGACATAAAGATATTACACCTTTATAATAAGATAGGCCATAGGAGCGGTTGGCGCACCGGTTGTGGCTTGGATTCCCAACCTTGAGGTCGGGGGTTCGAAACTCTGGCTGTGCAAATCGCTTGTGTCCTTGGGCAAGGCACTTTATCTATGGTTGCCTCTCCACCCAGGAGTACAAGTGGGTACCTTGTAGGTTCTAACACAACCTGCGCTGATTACTAGCTGCAATTTATGGAATGATAATATAATTTCATTTACTAATTTAATTTGGTGTTTCAATGTGTTCCATATGTGTTTGATCCAATGACCGGGGTAGTAATGTGAAGCGCTAGAGGCCTTGTAAAGGCATGAAGCGCTATATAAGAACGACATATTATTATTAACAAAGATTATACCATATGACAAAAGTGATCAAAAAGTGATCAAATTTGAAGTCAACAATGAAGTCCTGATGTTTTTTACTTTATAGTGTTGTCTTATTCTCCAGTATTGTTTGGAGTAGCACACTCACACAGTGACACACACAAATAGAGTTACTAGGCTTGCAAAATAGTAAACATAAAATATACTTGGTATTATATTATCGAGTTACAAACTTAAAACACAGGTGAGGTATCACAACCTTATTGTTAACTGTCGCAATAAAGAAGGCTTTTATACAATTTATGCTGGCTTTAACGTAGAAGATGCATAATTTTTCCTGTTATAAATCAGAAAGTGTCATTATGGCTGTCTCACTACTGGGTTAACCTGAACTGGCATATTTTTAAAGATATATATAAGTTTTTAGATAATTTACTAATAAATTAATGTAAGTTTCTGTATGTTGCCTGTATACTAAGAACAAAATCTCTCTTCAGCCTGAATTTGCTGTACATGTGCCATGGCAATGGGTTAATAAAGTCGGGCATTGTCCAAATGAAATGAAAAATCTCGAAGCTCATTTATTCTTATTTTATGAACTAATTATATTTAATAGAATAAACTCCAAAAAAAGAGAAAGAAAGTCCATGATTCTTGATGTTGGGCCATCTTCAGTGATTGAGGAAAATACTGTACTATGATTTGGTCCATCAATCGACTTCTATAATACAGAATTAATATTCATATTGATATCAAACGATGTTAAATCTTGTGCATTTATATCTACCTGAATACAGTAGAACTCCTATTAAGGGAGCATCCATTTATCTGGGACCAAAATAAATGTCCCTCTATAGGAGTGTTCTACTGTATACAACACATTGTGTTAGTTAACTGTCCATTTCAAACAAACATTCAATTGTGAATAATTGTCGATTTTGCTAATCAGTGGTTTACTTGTCTCTCATTTTAAACTTCCCGTATTGGTTTTCTAGTATGAACTATGAAATTAGCTTTGCCGTATGTGCTTATTTATTTTAATTACTATTTTATGAAAAATACAATGTCTTAATAAGGATGAAATAATTTATATTAGTTATATTATACTATGATTAATTATCGGTTTTATTTTATAGTTGATTTCTGTGGCCGCTCTGCTCTGTGTAACATCAACAACATTTGACGGGCAAAGCTACCTAATGAACCCAGGGGCGTGGCGGTTTAGGGTGTTCATTTTCACGTCGGTTGTATCCATCTTAACGTCGTTCCTGCTACTTATGGCGCATGCTTCAACCATTCATCGCATGATGCCCATCGATTGGCTTTTATTGGTATGCAACCAAAACAGGTTTTATACTCAATTTTTTCATTTTTATGTACCGTAAGTCTATAAAGCCAAGAAATTTGGCACCCATTTTTAAAGCCAAAATTTGGGGTCAGATTTCAATGCTAAGAAATCCAAAGCCACAATCTTTTACAAGCCCTAGGTGTAGTAACCGTTGCATAAAATTAAATGTATAGTCAAAAAGCTTTACAAGAGGCATGTGCTTTATAATTGCTGTTTGTCTAGCCTAGTGTTATGAATATACATTTGTTTATTGTTCAATATCTACTTGAAAAGTTTTTCATTTATTTATTTACAAGTACTTTAATACCTGTTCTTTATGCACATTGAAATTGTTTGGATGTCAATTCTTCTATATGAGTACCGGTATTCAAATAATTACTGGCTGTCTATTGACTGTAGACATGCTTAGAAAACTTCAATTTAATACAATCTTTGATTTTACAAATTTACGATTTTATATACATTTCATTTCATTGCTGATGTCAAACAATTACATTTCTTTTGCTAAGGTCAAGCAAAACTATTTAAAAAAAAAATCAAGTTGTGAATATCACTATCTATATGAAAACATGATATCATCTCTTAATGTCACTGTTCGGCTTTGTTGCTACATAAACAAAACATCAATCTTTTGTTAATAAAATAATTTTCACGAAATTGAAAACAAATAAAAATCAGTTTGTTAATTTAGTGTAAATATATCACCTACCTTATTATTGGTATCCACACAATGCTACATTTCTTCAGTCACTGCTGCTTAATACACAGCCAAGCCATACATTGGCTTCAAACGTCACATGTGCGCTTTTGGAGATATTGCGTAGGACGTCTGGGTGACACTGAGTGACAAGTGATCCGGGGAGCCCTACCAAGGATGAGGGTTTGTGTTTTATGCCTGGGGGGGCTTGGCTAAACCTGGGCTTGGCATCTACAACATCTGTAAACATACTTAGGAGTTAGTCCATACTACTGTAGGTGGCCATGGGTAGCTGAACTTTTTCTTAACGGTTGCCAAGACTAATTTATTTATATACTGTAGAGAGATTCGTCAAAACTTAACCTGTGTTGAATAGTTTTCAAATGTTCTGAGAAATTAATTCCAATTAGTTAATAATTAGGCCTTCCTATAATCATAATAACTAATCGTTGTCTTTGATTCTCTTACATGTTGTATTGAATTTGGAGTAAACATTAGTAGGTTAATGAAGTATAATTATGAAGAATGCAGTAACTTAACTTTTATTATGTTGGAGCTAATAAAGGTATGCGCAAACTAGCAGTTTCTACTAAATTTTTGCACATATTATAGTAATTTGTTTGGCCAATACAAAAAATCAGGAAGCTCCATGCAAAAGCATTGTATATTGACAGGTCAAAATATAACTTAGTATAAAAGTTCTGCAAAATATATTTTGAGGCTTCTGACATTTTTTAACATGTATCTTGAATACAAAAAAAAGAAACTCCTTAATATGGTACCACACTGCTGGCCATACAATTGTTTCTGCTTTAAAAAAAGTCTATAAACTCATCTGTTGAGTGTGCCTACACAATGTTGACCCTGTCAGATGGCAAAATAATATATACAGAGTGCAGAAATACTGTATAGCCTAAAGCTAATAACTAGGAAAAAAACTCAAAAGGTTGATGGATTGGAGGCTTAGAATATCATCAATCAGCTGATTGCGCTGCAAGAGTTATGTAAGGTGTGTTCAGAGAGTTCTAGCTGTCTGAGTTCAGAGGGGCTGAGGCTGATGACGTTCTAATCATCAGTTTGTCCAATTCAATTTGCTTCAGCATGTAGGACGTACGTTAAACTGGGACGTCATGTATATTGCATACCAGAATTGCATAATAGGTTTTCCTTTCGAGTAATGGCTCTTTCATTAATGCACAAATATTTTAGGTTAATAATTTAGAGTTTATGAAGCCAGATATAATTTCTACAAATGTTTGGAAAGATATACAATGGGGTATTTGTGGAAGTGTTTTATTTATAATATGGAGCATAGGTCTTGTTAGTTTATTTTAACATTCACAAAAAAAAAAGAAGAAATTTGCCATCTATACATGTACCTAATAATAAGGTTGATAAATATCATTGTTGTGAGTGTAGTATTGCTAACAGTTAGCTTTTGCCCCAAAACCCAGACATAATCTTTCTACAAGTACAAACCCATCAGATGTACAATAGGAACACCAGCAGTGATGTCATCACATCAACTTCAACTTAAGTCATGTATTAATGTACCTACCTTAATGCATGATCAGAAATGGATGTAGTACCCCAAATGTTTTTGTAATAATTTTATACCAAAAAGAGCCAAAGAAAATAGAAAAGCCTGTTTGATTTAAACCTATAGGGCCTTTACCTAAATACCAACAAGGCCAAAAAGTAGGTCTTTGAATTTATGCTACAATCAAGAAGTACTGTATAAATAAAAATGAATCAGCCTGTAATGCACTTCTGTGGTCTCCATTACATGGAAAGAGAAGAGTAGGTTGCCCATCCCATACATACATTGACCAGCAAGCTGACGAATGTGGACTCCTCCCATATGACCTACTGGCTGCAATGATAGATCTTGATAGATGGTGCCGAGTTATTAGCTCAAACAGATGATGATGAGAATCAAGAGTGTAGGGTTTGCTGTAATATTTATTTCTTATAAAAAACAGTCACAAGTTAACATGTTTGACTGTCAAGCCTTTTTTCCTATTAAATTCTGCCTCATATACCAAGGCATAAAGAGCGCCACCATAAGAACATCATTTCCATTAACTGTAGTGAAACACGAACAAACTTACGGCCGTTATTTTTTAATTAGATCTTTAGTTTACAGTACATGCAGTACAGTAGCGGTATGTTGGACAGGCGTGTGAACAAGAACTCTCGTCATGAGCGCCCTCAGTATAACCCTGTTGGAGGTAAACTAACATTCCTGGTTTCCAATATGTTACACTTAAACAGTAAAAAACCCTATATGGATGTACACCGAGATATTTAATAAGAAATTTGGTGGAGTTTTATATTTATATTATCCATTGCAATAAGAATACTTTATTGTCATTAAACAAATAAGTGAACAATGAAATTTATTTTGCTAGTTGGGCAATTCCATAAATTCAGACGTACATTTCAGACACTTTGTGAATCTATGTTTTCAAAATGAAGTTTGCAATTTATTTTTTTTAAAGTTTGCATTACATCTACTGGTTAGTACTATCAGGCCAACAATTTTTATTTTTTAACTCGCATGCATCACAGAGATACGGGTCAAAATGACAAAGGTCAGGGTCAAAAGTCATAGTAATAGGGCCCTTATATCTTCGCAACCACATGTGGTAGAGAGTTAAGTTTGGTGCCAAGTTGTTCAGAACATTTATATTTCTATTTGTTATAATAAAAAATATTTTGTTAAAAAATGACCGGACATGCCATTTCTGACCTTTGACAAGTCTCCGGGTCATATTCACAGGTTCTCATATTTCCGTAACCACTGGTGTTTAGGGAGTTAATTGTGGTGTCAATTTGTTCAGAACATTCATATAAACAGATTATAAGGAAGTTGGATCTAAATTTGTAACCAGAAAAAATGATTATTTGGTTCCCAATTATTAATTAATGCAGACAGTTAAACTAGTAAAAGAAAGACTACATTAAATCTATTAGACTAAGTTCTAGCTTTTGGTGTCAACTTCTTCATTAAAGAATCCTGCAATGGGCAAGTTTAGATTTTAAAGGTTTTAGAATTAGAAATTATTATAAACACCTGTAATGTATAGAACTACATTTTTGCAACGGCAAGAAAAATCATACTGTAGTAAATGTAGTTAATCAAGATGACTGTATGGTTATTCATGCTAAATAAGGTGTTTTATCTTACATTTATAATATCCTGTCATTTGAATATAAACAAATAATATAATCATGTTAGCTGTAATTGTAATTACTGGACATTGTTATGATGAAGTACTGTAGATTAAGTAGGCAGCCGTGTTTATCAGGATGATAACATTATTATGTAATTTGTGTATTGCCTGCCTGGTTTTTATTGGAGATGTGCTTAAAATTTTAGTTCAAAAAATTATTTTTGTTTGTAATATAAGCCCATGGTACTGAAAATATGTGCATATTGCATACTGTTTGATAACAATAAGACAAAACGTGCTTCAGGAAGGAAAATTATAGTAAAGCCTAAATTGATCTCGACCGGAAACCCAAGTATGGGGATCGTACCCAGAATTGTCAATGTTGTATTGTATTTTGTGCACAACATGTAGCCTACTGTAACTACAGACTATTACACATTGATAGTTTCCAAATTTTCACTATATTTCATAGGTTATAACACATTTTACATGGCGTGACGGACGTACAGTGACGGATATACAGAAAAAATGTATGTCTGTCGCATGGTTTTGCTAATTAGTGTAATTAATGGTAGGCTTCCAATTTGCTGTATACACTTGGTATATCTAGTATGCTTTATAACAAAGTTTTGGTAATTTCTTTGTACCTGGTTAGAAACTGAAATAAACAAATGTCATTTTCTTGTGACGGACGTACAAGTTTCAAGGTGTATGGCATAACGAAATATACAAGAGAAAATAAAAGTATAAAATATGATAAAATAATGAACAAAGAATATGAATACAAGTTAAGATCACTACTGAATAGATAGGTATCTGTTGAATAAGGTATTATATAAACTGATACTGTAGGTCCACTGATCGATCCCATAGTATAATACATACTCCAAGTATCGAAATGCACGCCATCATGTCGGGATTCAATATTTCAATATTAATTATTGCATTTAATAGGAATGATTCTCTGTACCGTTTAGTGTGGCATGGCATCGGCCAACCAGACCTGAGTGTTTATATTACAGTGTAATGGGTGGTTTATGTCTTTTATAATTTTATCGAGCATTTTCAAGGCACTATTTACATTAATTTCGTCAATGTTTTTCAATACATCATTACTGCCCATAACACGACCTGCACGATTGATTTCCTGATTTTACTTTTGTTGTGTTCTGTTATGCTGCTGATCTAGATCATGCAATGGTGATATGATAACCATTAATTGTTTGAATCAAGTAAGTTTTGCCTGCCAGAAGTGACAAGGATCAACCATTGGCCATAAGGAGACAGAGACATGGGCATGTCAATCATATTAACTCAACATGAAATATATTATCATAGCCATGATAATGTATTTATCTATATGGAACTAATGTTTTCTTAGCAAAATTTTAATGACTTGAAAATTTACTCACTTCTGTTTGCATATTGGACAAATTAAATGGTATTTGAACCTGGAGAAAAAGAGAGGACCCAGAATATTTCCCAGGTGATTATTTGTACGTAAGGAGTACAACAAATAGAGTGAGTTTGTAATTAGGGATCGGGAGGGGTAAAAAGGAATGGGAAAATTATGCATAATTTTATGAGTTGTTTCTTCAGTCTAACAACAAAAGCTATCCTTAGTATTGGAATGTAAAAGGGAGTTGAGAAGATTGTTCCTCAGCTTACAGTAGCAGCTTAGTGTAAAACATAAGATTTTCAATTAGCTCAGCTTGAATTATATGAAGGATAAAATATGGTTTGCTGATACAGGCCTCTAATTCTTGGTTCAAAGTCGTCTCAGTAAAATCACATGGATGACTATGGGCAATATAGACATTTTGAAAAGTAATTATGACATGTGTTAGTAGTTTATTTACCTAAATCGATATTCAAGGTTTATCTTGGTGTTGAAGGGCAGGAATGTTCCATTAATTTCTGTTTAATTACAATAACAACAATATATTTATTCATGCTAGAACATATATTTGTGTTTGTGGAGAATGCATCCCCATTTTTAAAATTTTGGAGATCAGTAACTCAAATTCACCCAAATTTACATTCTTTTCATTCAAACTAGCAATGTATAAACAAAAAAGTTATATGATTTTTAGATGAATTATCGTTTCTTTTTTTTTTTGTTAAATGTTTTTACTAAATGATGTGTGCATACAAAATACTGATAACTCTTGACAATGAATAGAGGCTATAAAATATAATAAAATTCATATACAGGCTGAACTTCAGACATTGAAAAAAGGCTGTATAATAAATATAATTTATATGGCATATAAAATGAAATTTTTTTACATTGTCCAAAATAACACCAACATAAATTTTTTCAATTTGGAATGCCAGATATAATCCTGCTTTTGAAAATTGTTCAATTTGAAATGATAGGAGCGAAAGTAATGTCCACTGGACCTAAAACAAAAATTGAAATTAGATTTGATTTTTCATGTTTTTTTCCTCTTGTCATTGTTTTTTTTTTGCTTTTGGTTTTTCTTTTTTGTTTTTTTGTTTCTTTTTTTGCTTTTTTTTGTTTTGTTTTTGGTTTATTTATTGTGAACCTGTGCAGAACATGACCTGAAATTTTTTTAACTCCTTTTATATACTGAATAAGGAATGATAAGAAGAAAAAAAATAGTCCAGTGATTAAAGATAATAATATCATGCAGTTAGCAAAGCCATATCAAATTTATTCTTTATTAGAAAATAATGAGGGATAATGATGCTGCATTAAGATTTGAAAATTGAATCAAATGGCCTCTTACTTCAATATGCATGAATATATTATCTGTGCACCTTGTACTAGCTAGAGAATTTTCAATTGCTTTACTCTTGCTTTACTCTTTGCATGGTGGTATGCTCTGGGTATTTGTTAATCAGTACAGTAGTTTCTTTTATGTCTTATAGTTTTAGATGCATTTTTTATTCTCGCATTTTTTTAAATATGCAACATTCTACAATATTTTTTTTTTTATCCTTTAAATTAAAATTTATAACATAATTAAATGAAACAAGTTATTACAAAGTGCGACAGACTTTAGTACAAAGTGCGACAGCTCAGTGTATTACAAAGTGTTACGGGATTTTAACTACAAAGTGCGACAGCTTGGTTGTTACAAAGTGCGACAACTTGTTATTACAAAGTGCAACAACTTTGTTACAAAGTGCGACATGTATTACAAATTGCAACATTACAGACCTCAGTGGAAGTGTCTTTTGGGTTCCTTGACTTATCCTTGGAATTTTTGTATCAGTGTGTATATTTTTAAATTGTCGTATTTTTTTTTTCTTGTGATATGAGATTTTTCCAATAAATGCATTTATTCATCTTAAAAATTTAATTACACTGTATTTACCTTTCTGTGCAGGTCTACAATTGGTGTTTGTTATATAGTCCTCTTCTCGCATGCTTCTTACACCGATAACATATAAACTAAAATATGGTTTCCAATCTTTTTCTGCCATTGCAACGTTATTTATTAAAGAGGCAACGTCTTTAAAAATGTTGAAGGACCCCCTAAAAAGCATCTTTTTAATATTTAATTCGTCTTTATTTATTTATTTATTTTTTTGTTCATTTTTGTGTGTGATAGTGCTCTGAGATTATTATTATTAGGGCGCTATATTAAAAACCTATATTATTATTATCATTAGTCATGTGTCATTGAGTCCTGGTATTGCATATTGAATGTTTTTTTATTTATAGTCTTTTGGCATTTTAATAACAAAGCAAACAAATTTTATTAGAGAATGTTTATGTTTGTCATTGGGTATATAGAAATTGATTGTTGCATGGCTGCTCAATATGCATACTTTAAGTGCTGGCTGGATGCTTTAGGATCAGCCACTCACTGATAAGACTGTGTAGTGCTGTTAAAAGGATTGGCTCAAATGTATTTTAAGACCGACCTAGGCCTGACTGGCTATGCTTAAAGCACCGTGCAAGGGACTTGATATTGTAGTTTTTTCTTGGCAGTATAGTATACTGTAAGAAATGCATTATATATTGTCCATGTCATATAGTATATCTGCTGTGTAGTCAGTAAATTAGGTAGTGGTGTATATATGATAGCATACTTTGCCAGTGTGCACATTTCCCATAGAGCACTACAGTGTTACGTGACGATACCATGTGATACTACTCTGTTGCTATCGTTGCAAAAGGCGTTCAACCGGACGCCATTTTCTACATTGACACACCACTGATCCCAATTTCTAACGTAATTATTAAAGATGTTTTATCTAATACTTTTTCTTTGTAAATTTTAATTGATGCATTAGGCCGACCAGCCCTCCTTAAACTAACGTTAGAATACCGCACTTTCGCCGGTAAAGAACAATTAAAACCTCATACAAAAGGCAACTAATCCGTTTACCCATAATTGAATCCAAGGACACCAGTGTTAAACACTCAGTACTTTTCCTTGATAATGTGTTAATCCAGTTAATATAGTGAGATAACGTAACGTTAGTTTAAGGAGGGCTGGTCGGCCTATTGGATTAAATGTGTGTTCAATAACTAATATAATGCAAGCTTTTGTGTTTTTAGTAGATTTTGATGGTAACATATAAGATTTTAAAATGCCTATTCCAGAAAGCCTATGAAGTCATTCAGGTGTAATATACAGTACAGTGACCAACGTCTGTTGACAACAGAGAACGCCACCTGGTGTTGTGACGACATGACTGTGGTACTAGCTATAACATAAAAGAATGGATGAGCGCTTATAACATACACTAGCAAAGATGTCACTCCACCCAGGATAGTTGTACAGGTCTCTCTCCAATTAAAGACAACTTCTGGGACTGTGATATCTAATTAGAATAATAAAGATCAAAGATATTATGTTAATTTGGGACCCTAGAAAAGTGGTCTTTAATTAGAGGTGGTTTTAATTGAAGGGAGGCTTGTACTGAGATAAATAAGAGCCAAAATAAGTAAGAAGTTATATAAAAGATCTATAACTGCACATTAAAAACAAAATATAATTTATAAGTTATGGAAATAGATTTATCTTTGTGTAAAGTATGGCATCACCAATATTAAAAGTCATAATGTTTTTCCAAGTATTAAAGTAATATTGATTATGTTAGCTTCTTTGGTGTTTGTAAAAGTGGCTATACAATTTACAAATGAAAATTATTAATTATTAATATTATTGTTTTTATTGTGTTCATAAATCCAGCGTTTCTTTGTGTATTTTCTAGGATATTGGAATATCTGGAGTACTGACTTTCTTGTACCTGGTTACTACAGCAATGATAGGTGCTGTTTACCATGAATATTCAAACAAATTGCGTGTCTGGCTTGACCGTAATATCCTCCTCGCTGGAATGGTAAGTATTTTACAGTAGGCCTAATAATGCCACATAGTTCATTACTTTCTGCTATTCAGTGATCTCTGTGCACAGAGATATAATAATACTAGAGCGCTAACTGCAATGTATTCGATGTTCGAAATACGCAGAGCTATGTGTGTGTACTATCCAAGGTGGCTGCCATAGATTCAGCCAATCAAATTTTGCCAAAGCACTATCATTTTCAATGGCGCCCTCAACTTACGCAGAAAATTCAGTACAGCTAGTTAACCGTATGTTTGAAACTCAAGTGTTGCGGTGTATGGGTGTAATGTACACGATTTTATTTATTTTTTTATATTTTTGAATAAGATGCTCTACCTGGCCTCTTTTTGGCTACGATAGTTCAATAAATTGTTATTATCAATACTAATTATCATTAATGAAATAATAGTCAGTCAGAGAACTTATTGCTGCGAAGCAGCCAATTCATATTCTTGACAGCAATTTGACCTCTGAAAGGTCATTGTTTGTCAAAAAACAAGGGCCTAAGACGACTGAAAAGCGGAGTTTCCTTCTTTTGTTCTGCCGGGTAAAATCAATTACTTTAGGCGATGTTTGTAGACTAACCAACACGTACCAACTTCCGCATGTCGCGCTAGCCTTATCCTACTAGGCCTAGACTAGCTAGGATGGTATAGGCCTAGCCTTGAAGGTCGAAGGTCCCAATGAAAAACAACGTCGCTCCTTGATAGCTAACATTTTCTATTTAACATCACAATAATTCATTATTAGACCTATAGTTGTTTTTTGAATTGTACTCCACAAATCTCAGCTGATACCTCGCACAACTTGAGTAACGTCTCGTATCTATTGTCGTGACGTCATGGCTCGCTGGCTCACACTTGCGATGTCTCGCACTTGTGATCAAATAACACGCTGGCTCGCACTTTGGCAACACTCTTTGGCAGTCATCTTCCCCCTAGAAAACCCGCCCTTGGAAACTTGCCCCATAAAAAAATGTACACTTCCTAGACCATGCAGTCTTCAAAATAAAAATTGTAACCTTTGGTAATCAACTACATTTTCCACATACATACACAACATACACTTTTTGACAAAAATGAAAAATTACGACTTTGTTACCCAATGAGAATTGTTCTAATATAGAAAATGGGTCGTGTCTTATATTATTTGTTATATATTTATTATTCATTACTTTCACTTGACTCGTATAAATAATTTTGTTCAAAGAACATTTATATGCAGTTGTACTTCGCAGCACTTCACTTGCAATTTGCAATTTCTAGTTTATGGTAATAATATGTATACTAAGCCTGAAGGTGGTGCTTTCCTACGGCGGCCATCTTGGATGGTACACATGCAGAACTCTGCATTGCTTCGCCATCTTGTCAGCACTCTACTTGTTTAATAGCTCTATGTCTCTTTGTCCGTAAAAGCAGTAATTTAAAAATTTTGCTCTGACTTAATTGAGCTAGGCCAGTTGCTAATCATAAACATAATTGAATTTGCCAACAATGACATTTCATACTACAGTATGTACGTGTTGCTTAATCTTATGTGCATGTTAAAGGATGCAGTACACTTATCATGAAAAGAGTAGTTTTATCCCCAGGCCTGGAAAGAAAAATGTTTGTGCCTCCAACCATGAAAGTGCTTTTGATAAAATTCCTCCAGCATCAAATGTTATCTGTACACTATATAACCAAGCAGTTTATTTTTTTTCAATTTTTCCCCAAAAAGGCCTCCAGGACATTGACCATTCTTGTACTGTCTGATAAAATCAACTTCTAATAAACATATAAAACAGTTCATATTCACATGTATATATGAAATATAATAGCCAATTTCCGAGGCTTGGGAAGTACTGTAGGTAGTTGTTCATTTTGGATCCTCAGTACTTCCTAGCCAAACCTCTGAGACTTGGAAAAATGATAAAATGTTCATTTGGAATAATATGGTAGGCCTATAATTAATGCATTCCATTCTCAAAAGACAAAAATTATACAGAAACAAGTCAGTTTTGCAAAGGGAAGATTTGAAACTAAAAGTATAGCAATATACAGGGCACTACTCGCTGCAATTTTTTTTAACCCGTATTCAATTGATCATGACTTAACAAGCAAGTTCAGAGTTTGCTTAGCAAGTTTGTTGATAGACTAATAGAAGATTGCTTATAATAATAATAATAATATGTCATTCTTATATAGCGCTTCATGCCTTTACAAGGCCTCAAAGCGCTTTCACATTTACTACCCCGGTCATTGGATCAAACACATATGGAACACATTGAACACCAAATTAAATTAGTAAATGAAATTATATTATCATTCCATAATATTGCAGCTAGTAATCAGCGCAGGTTGTGTTGGAACCTACCAGGTACCCACTTGTACAGTACTCCTGGGTGAAGAGAGGCAACCCAAGGACACAAGCGATTTGCACAGCCAGTGTTTCGAACCCCCGACCTCAAGGTCAGGAGTCCAAGCCACAACCGGTGGCGCCAACCGCTCCTATGGTTATAATTAACGTAGATTAGTCCTGATGTTTTACCTTGCAAAACCTTACATTACATACACATACATCATACTTCTACAACTTGCTTCATGATAAGAAATGTAATGCACTCGTAAATTGTTGTCCCGGGCCCGGCTAATTTTCGTGATAAAGATAAGAAATAAATGTAAGCACATATAACTCATTTAATTTATATATATCCAGAAATTTAAGATTAAAAAATAAAGAAGCTTTATGTGCTCTAAATTGTGAGAAGGTAATACATCTTACTATCACCTTTTGTGTACGAAAAATTGGTTCAAGATAAAAAATAAAAGTGCTTCCCCAAACCTCAATACCATAAGTCAACAAAGGATATATAAATGAATAATATAAAGTAACCAAGGTATTTCTAGGAACAAAATGTCTTAATTTAAAAAGAATCCCAACTTTCTTTTTAACATTTTCACAGACATAATCAATATGTGACTTCCATAATAAGTTTTTGTCAAAAATAATGGCTACAAAATTAACAGATAAACTCTCTTTAATTATAACATTATTTATAGTTAAATGATCTGGTTTAATGATAGCTTTATTTTTAGAATGAAAAATCATATAGTTAGTTTTCTCTGGATTAATTGTCAGCTTATTGGAGTTGCACCAAATAATGATTTTTTGAAATTGAATATTGATTATAGATAAATCCAGGAAATTACCAGAAAAAGAATGAAATAAATTTGTATCATCTGCAAAAAGTCGAAAGTCAAAAAAATCCAAATAATTGGGTAAATCATTGATATAAATTTAAAAAAGAGTAGGTCCCAATACAGAGCCTTGGGGAACTCTACAAATAATGTTTAGTTTATGCCTTAAATTGCCGATAAACGGTGCGGTGTTGGTTTGGTTCGTTTAGGCGTTTTCTTTTTTCTTTGTTAGTCTAAGTTCATGGTTCTTTTTTATTCTCTTATCCGTTTCCTTCAGTTGTTGTGAAGCGCCTTGAGGTTGGTCTAACGGGAGGCGCTATACAAATCGCAGATTATTATTATTATTATTAGTGTATCTGAGAAATAATTGTTTAATGAAATAAACTGTTTTCTATTACTAAGATAATTCTTCAGTCATGGACCGTGTTCGGACGTAAACTCAAATACATGTGTAATCTAATAATAGTCTTGGGGCTAATTCCGACGGCCGTTCGGACGAGTAGAATAAGTACCGGTAAAACTAGTAACTTCTCGTATGTCTTTCCTTCAACCAAGGTCAGATACAAGTTTTTTAGCAATATTTTGTTGTTACTGTTTAAAACTATACATAATCTAGCCTTTGTAACTTCATTTGGAGCTTCAAGTGATTTCTTTACCGTGATAACAAAACTTTATTACATTTGGCACATGTCCGCCGCTAGACGACGCCATGTTGTTGTTGACTGTAAAACAACTCGTAAAGTTGTTGTAACAAAACTAATTTAAAAGTAGGTATAAAATTATTTTTCTGTTATTAAAATAAAAATTACATCTAATTATAATTTTCAAGTTTGTTTTTAAAGCAGTAATACTCACTTAACAAATAAAATATGAATTAGAAATGCAACATTTGAACGAATACAGTGACGTATGTAAAAATGTCGCTCGCTCGCTGGCCTACCGTAAAGAACTTTTTTTGTTGTAAGTTTAAACGTCATTTTCTCGTGTTTTGCTAAAGTTCGTACTGTCAAACTTTTTGAATGCTTTTAAATATTATTTAAGTTATTTTCATAAGGATTTAAAGTATTATGAGAAAATGGGAACGGGATTGAACGATAGAAATTTTACTCCGGCCCGGTGTTGTATACACATCTAAAATGGTCAACTTTTGATGTGGGCCTTGTTACATGTGATTAATTATGCCTGGAGGCAGCGTGTAATTGAAATATCCACTAAAAAAGATGGGTTTTTGGGACAGATATTTTGTGAATTTTTTATGGCTAGAGGCAAAATTTAATTGCCACACGTGGCCTCTCAGTTGGAAGTACCCGGTAAAACTTTACTCGTCCGAACGGGCCCAAAGAAGTGCATTTCCTCGAATGCCATAATGAAATAATTTAGAACATAATTTATGATTAATTGTGTCAAAGGCTTTATGAAAATCAATGAAAATTCCACAAGAAGATTTTTTGTTATCAATGTCAAACTGAAGCTTATTAAACAAGATTAATAAGGATAAGGAAAAAAACGATTAAATTCATTTACTATGTCATTTGGATCAGCGATTACGGTAATATTGCCATTTTGATGAGAGATAATGATTTTATCTGGTAAGTTTAATGTGGTTGATTTTCTCCCAATCAAGGTATTGATTATTTGCCAGGTTTTTGGCATAGTCATTCTTATTATTAGTGATTAAGTCATGTGAAAGTCTCGGCCACCTTGCGACAATGCGGGGCATCGTTTTAATGTACATGCCCAGCTAGGTCCCTGCCACTTACCGCCGTAGTCCCTGTAAGATGCCCCGCTAATAAATGATTGGATAAGACTACGTATGCATATCACTAGTAGATTTCCATGGATGTTTGGAAAAGTACGAAAACAAAGGAGTGTATTGTCAGATTGATTTAATTATTCTATATCAAAACAGAAATTAGGCCTAAATAAAAAAATAAATACATGTAGTAGAGACAGATTTCCTTGCCCTGGCTCATGTACTTGTGTATTTTTGACGCAAACTAGCCTAGGTCAAATTCACGGTCCACAAATTTTCACGCAACACACTTACACGCGCCACCACCTCGGTCCTCGGCATTGTGTGGAGGGAGGTTTAAATTTTATTATGTAATTTATACTGTGATCTATGAAAAAAATAAAACCATGATGGTAGGCCTAAAGTAGCGGTAGGTGATTTTTTAATTACCAAAACACACAGTAATTGCTGACTTAATGCCTAGTCCTAGTTTAGGCTAGGTAGGACCAGACCCAGTTTGACAGCACTAGGCCGCCTAGGCATACATGCCTGAAACCGCGGCTACATGTAAAATTCCCGGCCATTCTGATTCCTGTTACATCTACAGGTAAATTTTAGGTATGTCCCGGCATTACAGAGACACATCTGTGTGTACATCCCCGGCTCAGTCCAGGTTAGTGCCCCGCTTTGGTGGGGTGGGGGCGGGACTACAATTGACAAGTGCATAACATAAGATCAGAAAGAAAATGTAGTACACTTAATAGAAAGAAAACTTCAGCATGTTACCTATCATTAAGTTTAAATTAAACAAAACTCAGCTGATGAAAAAGTGTGTATAAAAAGAATGTTTTGTCCATGCAAACAAACGTAAAAGAACCACAGAATTAAAAATATTACAAGTACTGAATTTTGTTTGATCTAAGAGTAGACGGCTCAGATTAATCATAAAAAAAAAAAAAAACTGAATTGTTAGAAAATAATTTTAGCAGCTTTGGCTAACGGTAGTGGTTCATTGTGTAGTCCTATTCATGTACATTTAATAATAAATAAATAAATAATGAATACTGTTTAAGTAAATAAATAAATAATACTTATTATGCACTTCACAACCTTTATATAATGAACCATATTTGATTTTTAGAGTTAAACTTTTTATTAAATATAGTAGCCAAAATAGGAATTTGGAATTTCTGACCAGTAGAGGGCACTTTAACACAATTTCCTACCCAAACTTGTCCATATGGTAGCATGTGTGCTAAGTTTGAAATTGTTATCATACGGTATATGATTTAACCAAAAATTAGGCCCTGATGGATTAATTGTCATTTATTATACAAGATATCATTTAACAGTGCCTTTATGTTTTCTACTACCATCTGTCAGTAACACAAAATGTATGTTTGTTTAAAGTTGCGCATTTTGGGGTCCCTGACCGTGTGTGCGTTGCCATTAAGATTTCTTTGTTTTTTTAAATATATTTTTAAAGTGCTTTTATTTACCTTTGTCCACTTTCTGTAGTCTGTGTAACCAATCACAACTAAGAGTACTACCAACAAATGTAAAGTTTTATAGGCATTATTAATGTAATATTATAATGTTATAGCCATCTGTGTCTGTCCTCTTGTCAGGAGGAGCAATTTAACGATGTAGTGAATGTGCTTCTTTAGTTCTCTTAAAAACTATCTTGTCTGGAAAATTGCATTTGTAATGTTATTAGTTGAGATATGTGATATGATGTGGTCAATTGACATTAATGTGCATAGTGTAATTTTTTTTTTATTGTAAACAATTTTTGAAGAAATAGAATGTGATGTACTGTAAATTTTGACTATTTTCTCATTCAACAAACATTTATTGATTTATATTTATTTCCAGCATGACAATTTTTAATATTCTCAGGAACAGAAAATAAATTGAAAATAACCCTACAACATCAGCTAAAAAAAAGTAAATATTGTTGTGTTGACATTATTTATTTATTTATTTTTCATTTTTTTTAAATTTGTTTATTATATTCATCAAATGATTTTCAATTGCCTCAATCAAATGTCATCAATAAATTGTAAATTATATTTACTTTTAAATCATCCAGGGTTATGAAACATAGAAGCATTTATGAAAAATGAAAATTATTCTCGATGTTTTAAGGTTGGTATTAATATTGGATCTACAAAATTTCATTTTCACCCAAATTCTTTGGTTAATAAACTACACAGTTGAAAGATTTATGTTTTTTAAAGAGGCAAATATATCAATTTGTCAATTCAAATCTTTTGAGCTAAATGTTACATTCCTTGGAAGACAATCAAACCTGCTCACGACATCATTGCATAGTATTTGAATCATGTATGCAATACCTAAGAAAGACTTCTTGCATCATCATTCATCTGTATTCATCATACACACATAGATTTCTTGCATAATCATTCATGTGTATTTAAATCTTGTACACATTAGATTTCTTGCATCATCATGCAGACTTTTGAATTATGTTCATATTAGGTCACTGGGTTAATTTTCTCATTTTTTTATAGTAAATAATTTGAGAAGATTTTTAATTGTGTTAGGCGCTATATAATAAGTCTATTTCCATTCTCACATCACCATCCCTACAGATTTGAATCATGTACTATATATTAGAAGAGTTTCTCGCATTATCATTCACTACAGACTTGAATCATGTACTATTAGAAGGGTTTCTCGCATCACCCTACAGATTTGAATCATGTATTATATATTAAAAGGGTTTCTCGCATCACCATTCCCTACAGATTTGAATCATGTATTATATATTTAAAATGGTTTCTTGCATCGTCATTCCCTACAGATTTGAATTATGTACTATAGAAAGGTTTTTCGCATCATTATTCACTACAGATTTGAAATATATTGGAAGGATGTCTCGCACCATCATTCCCTACAGATTTGAATTGTGTACTATATATTAGAAGGGATTCTGGCATCATCATTCACTAGTAATAGACTTGAATCATATACTGTTAGAAGGGTTTTTCGCATCATTATTAACTACAGATTTGAATCATGTACTATATATCAGTGGCATCATCATTCACTACAGACTTGAATCATGTAATATTAGAAGGGTTTCTCACATCGTCATTCACTACAGACTTGAATCAAGTAATATTAGAAGGGTTTCTCGCATCATCATTCTCTACAGACTTGAATCATGTACTATTAGAAGGGTTTCTCTCATCATCATTCACTACAGACTTGAATCATGTACTATTAGAAGGGTTTCTTGCATCACCATTAACTACAGATTTGAATCATGTATTATATATCAGTGTCATTATCATTCACTACAGACTTGAATCATGTACTTTTAGAAGGGTTTCTTGTGTCATCATTCACTACAGATTTGAATCTAAATCCTTTCCGAGCCACTGGGTCTCATAGGGCTGGAGCTTATCTCCAGTTTCTGTGGTGGGACTGAAGCAATGTAGCTAAAGTGCCTTGCCCAAGGACACAAGCAAATCTGCACAGCGGAGACTCGAATCCCCGACCTTACGATTGAAAGCCCAAACCTAAACCGCTGCGCCAAACTGCCGCTACAGATTTGAATCACGTACTATATATTAGAAGGGTTTCTCACATCGTCATTCACTACAGGCTTGGATCATGTATTATTAGAAGGGTCTCTCGCATCGTCATTCACTACAGACTTGAATCATGTACTATTAGAAGGGTTTCTTGCATCACCATAAACTACAGATTTGAATCATGTACTATATATCAGTGACATCATCATTCACTACAGACTTGAATCATGTACTATTATATTCATTCACTACAGATATTGAATTATGTACTATATATCAGAAGGGTTTCTTGTGACATGGGTTGGCCAGACTGCTGTGGATGGTAGGCCTCCTCTCTCCATAGTATCATGTACTGTACACATTAGAAATGTTTTTAATCTCATCATTGCATGCATATTTCAATTGATTGGGTTTTATGCTCCTAAGTACACTTCTTGTATAATGTTGGGTCACAATTCATTTAGAGCCCCATTCCATGCAAAATTTTGTTTTTTTAAGAAAAATCTGATTTTTATATATGTTAATAAAAAGATTAAAATATACAATGAACTTGTTAAAAACGGTTCTGACCAAGATTTTGACAATTAAGCAAACATAACCTCAGGCCTACTTAATCGACTGCAGTGTGCTAGGTGCAATGTACAGAAACTAATCTCATAGAGGGCGCACTTTATTTATCGCTTACGATCGTATCGGCAACATAAAGAGTTCAGTAAATTAAATTAATTACTGTTTTTATTTAATTGTGGGATGAATTAAGATATATTATCGTAAAAGTTCATGGTATTGGTGGCCGAGATATAAAATAATGCGGAAGGAGGTGGGGGGTGGGGTGTGCAGAACAATTACCCTATGTACGTCGGATGCACAACTGATACACAAAAAGCAGCTGGCAAGAGCATGCTAGCGGATACAACCTCTAAATTTGCCTAGTAACGAAGAAGTCGTTGAAAACAAGGCACTCTCCTAATGAGAAATAGTCTCTCACGTTTTTCTTCTCTAGTGTAAACGAGTATCCATTTAGGTGTTGCATTAATGTCAAAAATAATTTTTGACTTTAAACTTAATAAAATCGTTATAATATGAATGGCTGGTATCTGTAGTTACTGAAACAAAACAAAAATCATGAAAATTTAACTCTGCATTCTAGGATCATACCACTTTTTATATAGGGGTATATAATATGAATGTTATGGATGGACATTTTAATAGAAGAATATATCTTTTATATAAAAAACCTTAAATCTTTCAGATTCTTTGATTACTAGTAAGTGTAAGGGTGAAACATTCTTAATGAATATACATGAAAAATTAGTAAATATTGCTGGTAATTAGTAAAAATACCTTGAATTAGCTGTAGTCCAAAATTCAGACGTCCGTCCGTAACGCAAATTAGCTTAAATGTTTTTTTATGCTTTATACAATAGATTACAATTAAAAAAACATATTAACTTATCTCTACTACTACATTGATGATTACAAAATAACTTAATAAAAATTTTGTTAACGTTAAAATTTTAATTGCACATTTAATTTAAAATGTGTCCATCCGTAACAACATTTGTTACGGATGGACATGCCATATGAAATACATTTTGATTGGCCAATTTATGTTAACCAATGTTGAAATGAATTATACTGAAGATGTTTATGTTTAGCAATTTTTTTCTCATAAAATCTATCAGTAAATTGGTGAAAATATTCATTTAGTAATGTAACTTCAGGGTAAATGTCCGTCCGTAACGCACTTGGGTGTAATGTTCCTTCATTATGCTTCAAATTTACAACATTTTTACGATTCATACTGAACTCCTTGGACATTTATAAATGTAAATGTATGTTACAATTGTTTTTGACATAAAATTTCAATTAAAGCTACTAATTAAAATAATGTTACAGACAGATATATCTGTGTTACGGATGGAGATGTTAGGCAGTGTATGTTAAATTTACCATACAGTAAGTCAACCAAACTACACTTTCAATTTAACAATTGATCAATTATTACATTCCAATATCATTTTTCAAAAGTAGCAATTTAATCAAATTATTATGAAAAATTTAAAGTTAAATAATTTCAAGATATTATTTAGTTTAATAACTTATTTTCTCTGAAATTATTGCAATTATATAGGGCCTACTGTAGGTTATGACGAATGTCAGTTTATGTACTGTTCAATGGCAAACAAACAAACAATCATCATTAGAGAGGCTGTTATAATCCTAAATTTAAGAAAAGTCAATTATCATTTTAAAAATCAAATTTTTAAAATTAATATTTATCATTAGAATGTTTGTTGCAAAAGTGTTCGTCTGTAACACAAGAAAAATGTCCGTCCGTAACATTTTCTTTTTGTTAATAACTGAAAGACAAGGGCGTATTTAATAACCAAACCAAGTCTCATTAATAGACAAGTAAAATAACTTAATTTAGCAATGAAAAATTTTTGTCAGCTCTCGCTTCCCTAGATAGAAATTTCTGCTAAGCTGTAAAAATTAGAAACAGCGAATTCTATCTTGTCCATCCGTAAAGCTCACATTTTTGCTGTTCTATTTTTAGTAAAAATATCAATCCGCACAATTATTATTATTCTTGCATATAAAACATATAATGAACCAGCTATTAAAGAGTGGCATAAAATGTTTTTGGAGAATTTAAATTGAAAGTTTTGAAAAAGTGTCCGTCCGTAACGATGGATTATACTCAAACCTAAAAGTTATGCCAATGACCAGTGACCTGGTTTATAATAGTTAAAGAACTATGTATACATTTTTTTTTCTGAGAATTCTTTTATTTTAGTGAAATTTTGCTGGGAATGAGGCTCTAACTATAACATGGATTAAAATTACAAATATGTTTATATGTAACAATATATATTCATTTGCATTAAATTATAACGTAAGAAGGATCAAAAGTTTTTGTTACAAATTTTGTTATTCACATTTCCAACATACTTCTAATTTTGCAATTATGACTTTAGTAAATGTAATGCTTCACAAGACTCCGTAAAGCTACATGTTCAGGTTAATTGCGTTTGACATTCTATAATCAAAAATATTAGGGTTAGTTACATCTGTGAATGAAACATTACCAACATCTAATCAGTAATCAAATTTCTTAATAGCATTTTTTCGGTAGGGAATTAGTTCACAAGATATTTTGGGCTTAAATTGTCCATTATCTTGTACATTGTAATTATCAGGCTATCCAAATGCACATATATCATAGTTGAATGCTCATTCTTAGTTATCTTGTCAAACTAAACTTAAATTTACGTTAATTGAAGAAACGGGCTGTGGATGTTGGATGCAAGGTGAAATTCCTTTTATCATAATGTTTCACTGAATATTCTACAAGTTGTGTTAAGGATCTCAAATTAATTTTGGGTTGAGGGTACATAGGCTTAATGGCTGGTACATGCTGCGACGACGGTCATCGTCTGATGTGATTTTATTGAGAATGCATGATGACGTGTGGGCATGACCATTCAATAAGACTGCCTGATTTTTGAATTTTCAATGTTGGCATCTATGCAAAGATAAAATACACTTTACAAGTAGCAGGTCTCAGACGTGTACCCCAAT